TATTAGTCGACGGTGGTTCATTATTTGATTCAAGAGACTGTTTTTATGATGATTACTACCATTACTGTTAGTATCATTGGGTCAAAAGACTATTATCGATTCCACTTGAGGTCAACGCACCACTCTTAGCTCATTCGTTAAGTAGCCTTAACCATCACCCATTGTGATGGTTGCTATTTATGGATAGTATTTTATTACTGTATCACCATAAGAGCCCCTTGCTGGCATTTTTACCACGATTAGTTTGCCGTAGTTATTGAGTCAATTAAGCACTTCCACCGCTTGATCCAATGACGTCAGTTCGCGATGCAAACTCACTTGAAAATAAAGGAATTTTCACAAATAAGTAATTGAATTACTATCCAGTGCTCACTGGTCACTTGCTTCGAGATGGATGCCTAGAAGTTCTACTGAAAGCCGCCACCTGTGGGCCCAGCCACATCGGATATGAGGACAAATACCAGCTGATGGCATTGGATAATGGCTGCACTATACGGTGTGTCGACAGAAGTGGTAAGTAGCAAAGTAACATACCCAGTAACCTTGTTCATGTTCGTGCAGTAGGCGATGAGACAAACTTATAGAGTGGGGCTGACCACACTACCTTCTAATCAGCTATAGAAGTAGGAAAGTGTAGAACGTTCGATCCCAACCTAGTGGCCTAATAGCAAAGTGCTTGGCACGAGACATGATAGCACTGGGTCCCAACCCTCATGGCGTCGGCGCGCACTTCTGAAAATTCATATCCCAGGAATAAACAGGTGTCTAGTGCTCCCACGTTTGCGACAGTTCCACATCTATCAGTTATTGATGAAAAATTGCTTGAAATCACTCAACCCCCCATAAACTACACATTGTATTGCTGTTGATAACAGGCCTTTACGTTTCCCCAGTGTTCGAATATGTAGTGGATTTTACCATTTATTCTCTTCTCATATAGACTAAACATATACATAACATGGTGCAACTATGATTTATACTGTCAAATTAAACAGAACTACTTCCTAACAAAGTATACTCCTATTTGTTGATATGCTTGTAATTCTTCGCTGTTTTATCTGATCGAATTGTTCGGGTACCACTGGCATATGCGCTCCAATTGCAGTGACGCGACATTGCCTAAATGTTCATTATGGCAAGTCCTAGATATGACGAAACGCTCATTTTAGGTTACTCTCTTAGCCACAACAGAGTAAACTATCATAAAGTGTACTTGATTTTAGAAATCAGTGCATAATTGAAAATGGAATGAATTAACTTCACTTTGCGTTGCTCACTGTGCATAGCCTACAAAATTACAAAACCTTTTCGATGCTTCAGTCGCGTAAACGCACAGCAACAGCATGTAACCGGACACTAATTTAGGAGTGTGCATTTCAGTTTTCTGAACAACCTAACACAACATGAGGTCACAGACTCAGAGGGAAGGGAAGGAGTAAGTAAGATTATAGGGAGGCTTATGGGTTATGGGATTTCAGTTGGATCTTACATAAAGTTGCCAGACTTGATAAGATTACTTTATTTACGTGGTGGTGTTCGTAAAACTACAAGAACCTTCACAATGACATTTCTACTGCTAACGGAGCAGTACTCAAACTGGATGGGTTTCGTAACTTAGTTAGTAAAGCAGTGGGCCAATGATCCTGTTTAAGGCCATAATAAGTGTTGCACCATTAACCAATACCCACAAGTAAATGAAGTGAAGTCAATAGGGATACGAACTCGTTGCACAAGCTGATATGCAGATTGTTTTCCAAGTTGGTATCCACTATGAACCGACACCAGTTGGAGGAGTACTGGAAACCCTGGAGCACCGGACAGCTGTTTCGTCCCAGTAGGGGATCCCCAACAGTGCTCAGTCATGACCTTGCCCCACATGGGGTCGAACCCATCACCTTCCGATTATGCGTCCAAAGTGTTAGAACTGAGCCACTGGGTTGGAATCCAGTGGTCCATATTTCCGATTTCTATCAGTTCGCGACATAGCGCAGCCATCACGCAATGCCATCATTGAGAGTTTTTCCTCATAGCCACCAGGTTTGCGCGTTGGTGGCCAACTTAGAGAGATGACTCCTGAAGTCCCAATAGGGATTCGTGGCCGGTGGGGCAGACGTGGTGGCTGTGAGGCCAAGTGCTCAACGATGACATTGAGTGATGGTAGTGCTATATCGTCAACTAACGGAAGTTTGAAATATGGACAATTTGACTCCAACCCGGTGGCTCAGTGGTAACGTTTTGGCTACGGAACCTGAAGGTGCTGGCTTTCATCCCTATACCAGGACGAAACAGCTGTCCAGTGCTCCCAGATTCCCAATGTTCCTCCAACTGATATCAGCTCACAGTGAATACCAATGTGAAAATCAATAAATCTTCACAAACCCCAAAATTCAACGCCACTTTCCAGTGATTCAGATTCTAACCCATCCATGGGCTGAGCTAAAAGCCAGTTTGAGGGCATGCAGTGCTGTGAAGCTGGAAACTTGAACGCACTACTCATTTGTTGAGTTTAAGTTTCCAATACTTTTTCAGCTGGCTTTACTCTGTGTTGAGGGGCATTTCGATAATAATCGATTTCGTAACGAGATTTTATCTGAATACCGAATTGTCAGTTCACTACTTTTGAGTGAACATGAAGAAGAAATTCACTGGAATAATATTTAGTGGCTGATATCATTCATTCTCCCCAAAATTTTCAATCTGAGTATTGATCATTTCATAGCAGGAATAGTGTAACTTTGTACAATCCCTTCTTAAATACGTAATGACGAGTACGGGCGGAGTAAGTCAGACTAACAACAAGCATCAGTCTTGATATAACCGTTTGTACCCTCTATGAGACAGTTTTTTAGGAAAAACCACCTAGTGGTATTTTGCCTGATCATAAAACTTACTATTTGGTATGTATTAAAGTAAATCATGAAGTATTATTCATTTAGGAATCAGTGGTGTAAATAGAAAGTATATGTGGTAAAGTAATTAGGTGATGACCGAAAACCAACGTCACATCATTCAGTTGTTCAAACACAATAAGACCTATCCAAGCCTTCATTTCAACAAGCCAACTCTTTGAACAGTGGCACATGAATCTCTGCTTCAACGAACAGCTTCGTTCGTGAAAGTCGTTTCAATAAATCAAAGAGGCCTTGGTATTACAGCATAATTTCGTTTAAAATTACTTATCAATGGCCCTTATTTTGAGCAGGCCTTCCACACCTAAACAGTCCAAATACTCGTCATGAGACCCCATCGGAAAACAATATTTATTTAAGCGGAAAGTTTTCATCAATACAATCTTCAGTAGTTATCAATGTTTTCAACTGCATGAGAAATTCAGTTGCCACCACCTGTAATTGTTCCAAGAATGTCAGGAAGGTGTAGAAGACTAATTTAAACTTGCTACTGAGACATTTACACTGAGAATATTGGTTTAGTGACTTTCGTGGTCACTTTCATGCACTTATATAGAATGTCATGCATCCATGCCCCAAGAACTGTTTTCTTTGGATACCATGGAACAACGTTTTTCTTCTTCGGCCTAATTTCAGACTATTCTTCATGTTTTAGTGTCATTGCTTGTATTACACTGTCGTAGATAGGACCAAATTGATCAGCCTCTGTTGGCATCTGGGCTCCTATGCGGATGCCTCGATATAGCCTGTCTTTTAACTGTGTTTAGTAATGATGTTCTTGTTAGTTTTACCTTTTGACTGACATTGGACTTTGTCAACTGCCTACTAACGGCCTTCAAAAAGCACCATCTCGAGAGATGTGTGACTAAAGCCTTGTTTTTCGGATTCCCTAAGTATAGTCTCGTTTTTAAACAGTTATAAAAGGAACAAACTTTGAGTCTCTAAACCCTCAATCAATAGAAGTGGATCGTATACACGTTCTGTTAACTATTTGCACGCACAAAAAGTACTTTTATCCATGACAGTGCTATTTATTAAATACTTTAAGTGGTATGGAAGGTGCTGAAGTTTATGCGGAAAGGGCATTCTGCTGAATCATGCCAAGTTTACGGAAAAAGAATAGTAAACGGGGCAAGGACATAACTAAGGTACACGGCTGTGATAAATGAGCAGATAAACATCTGAAGACCTAACAGTACGTTTCACAAGTTGAGTCAGAGTTATCTAAACATCAGATGTTTATTCATTTCGTTTCCCGTATTGCAGATTGGCCAGATTAGATAGTCGTGTTTTCTAAGGTGTTTGAGCACGCCAGTCTGTGATGCACACTCAGGTTAGGCTGAGGGCCTTTATTCGTTGTATGATTAAGACAGTGGATCGCAATAAACTCACTGTTTGCCCACACTACACAGGTGTAATACTTGGTGATATTGTCTCACATATATCAGTATAACATAATTCTGCACAACAAAATGCGGAAAATATTGTCAGTACTTTAACACGGAACATGGCCCGTGTTTGAAGTAGTTAGTGAACAAATTCATCAACACTGCGAAACGAAGTTTGTATCAGAGTGAACTGAAATCACTCAGTTGCATATCAACAGATGTATCTGGAATAATAGATATTATATAGAAAATGGGAATCAATGGAAAACTATAAGTATCTGTTTCTTAAGTCGTAGATCTTTCCAGTGAAAACGTAAAGGTTCAGATTGCTTGACGGAAAAAGACATCACAACTGACTTTCGACGACATTGAAATAATATTTTACTTTGGAACTATTTCTACTGAAACATTGTTCAGGTCTTTCTGGAGCAGATATTCATTTATCTGCAACATCACTAATATAGTTAAAATCAGACAGAAATGCCAAAGGAAGTCGGAGAATTGGCAAGCCCTCTTTCATCAAAAACGTTCAAACCTTTAAGCTTTGTATTTATTCTTGCCTCGATTAACTCACTCTCCAAGCATATATCCATGTGTATATATACATATATATTCATGAGGCTAATCTATGTGTTGTGGATGTATCGCTAAAAACCTTTCAAACACAAAGAAAAGTGCAACGAGTAAAAATCAAACGTATTACCTTTGCACTGTTTTTTGATTCTTTTCGTTGGATCCAACCATTTCTGAAATTAGCATCGGAGGTAAAAAAAACGCAAGATGAAGGCAAAAGTGAACCAAAATGGTAAGAGATTTATCTTTTCAAACTCGTCAGTAATCCAAAACTCATAAAACTTAACCGCATGATTTACATAGTACAACCTTTTTTGGTGACGTTTAATGAAGTGAACTGCAAGTGGAGACTAACTGGAGACCGGTAAGCCACCTTAGTGTAAGATATCCATGGTTTGCTTGCGGCAACCGACCTTAAATGAACTACTCGATCAACTATAGAAGTTATGTATGTAGTTTTCTAACTGGTGACGGCCTATCATCCAAATTTTATAACTTTGATAACACGATACTTTCTTCTAAGTTTTGCGAACGTAGCCAGTATATTAACTGCATTCAAGTAGAAGACGGTACACAGTATTCCTTTAAGTGTTTCACACACTTTGAACATGACACAAATACACAGGAAGATGTAAAGGCAACGTAGGGTGACACAAATTTCCATTTAACACCCTCTTAAGAGTAGCATTTACTCCGAGAATCGGTAGATCATCCCTCATCCTCTTAGTGAGCGTCCTCGAAAGTTTTCCGCAAGCAGAACCAACTAACTACTCTCAAACACAAAACAACCACGTGAAAGTTGCCTTCATCACATCAACGGTCAAATAAAAACATGGAGCTACTTTTGCATTTGGCATGCTAAGCAAGACACATCGTGGCTAGATAACTGTGCTTTGCACATTGAAACAAGTGTTTTTCAATGAATACTAATTTAAGTGGCCAAGGTAAGCAGAACACCCTTTCGATTTGAATAGAACATGAGTTCATCTGACAAGACGAAATCATAAAGAAAAGACTGAAAGAAACTACGTTGTCTGGCAGAGATTGCCAAAAAATAAGTAAAGGAGTTAAAAACAGATCAAGCGATTGTTGTCCAACATAAATGGTTGGAAAATGGAGGAATACTTGAAGTCCCACTCATGGAAAAACAACAGCTCAACCTACAAAGAATCAATTCACTAAACGTTCTAACACAGAAAAACACCGACTACTGGAGTTCCAGGAAAGGTGATACCTGTCAGGTCACTGAAGGTAATACAGTAGAATAAAGAGAGAAACTATATCAAGCAAAACCATGCAACTTACGATTAGATTTCCCCCAGTTGGCTCACAAAACGTGTACACAAGTCCAAAGAAATCCCTCTCCAGCAGCTCAAGATAGTCAAACGTCAAATCTAAGAGAGCTTGGCCACTACACCGTTTCTGAAAGAAAAATGATCATTTGGATTGTTAGACTTACGTCTACTCTGAATGCAACAGCGGTAGAATCGAGAAGCCAAACGTTGCAAGTGATAGAATGTTGGTACGTCGAACGATCCACTTGCTCTGCAGCCTCTACATTGTAGGTTCCACTAAACTTTAATGTCATCTACGTTAACAGTAGATTGAAGGCATGTGTCATCGCATCACATTATGAGAATGGGCCACTCAACAACATTTGGTGGGAACACAAGAAAAAGTGACTCATACGTGGCGGTTTTCAACGTTGCAGCTTTTATATGAAAAGGACCATTTCCATCGAGAATCCCATTAAATCCCTTTCATTTCCTATATGACTACGGAAACACGATATTTGAAGTAACGCACCTGAATCAAATACTTGCTTGTTTACATAACTAGCTAAAACAATATCCAACATCCAATGTTTTTTTCCTGCGAGCTAGTGTAAACTAGTTGATTTCCTCACACTTGTTTCTAGGTCCTGTAGAACAGTTCCAGGTCTTGAAAGGACTTCGATGCAGCAGGCCTGCCTAGTTCCCTGCTTCAGTTCAGGTATCCTAACGGGCGATTAGGTGTTGTTTAAATTTTCAGAGATTGTATGATTTTTACAGGGAGCGTGGTGCACGTGGGTTCCCCAAGTGTCATGTCACCAGACGGTTGACCAGACAGGTTGTAGAAAGAAGATAGAGAAGACGTCCAGCAAAATCCATGGAGAGGAAGTGGGAAGAAGGAAAGGCAAAGGCTACGTGGAGGGAGGCGGAACGGTAGGGAAGGAGACGCTTAGGTTGGGTCCTGGGAGATAAGTGACGGGGCGAAACTTACTGGGCGGTGTGAGGTCATAGACTCAGGGGGAATGGAAGGAGTGTGTAAGATTATAGGACAGGTTACGTGAATGGAGAAAATAATACCATTAGTAGGGGGTGGTAAGTAGGGAAGACGTCTGTTTAGAAATATTGAGCTTAGTCAGGTTCACGATGATAGTGGGGGCAAAAAAGGTTCCGTATGGGGTTGGCTGTGCCGAGTCGAGCGGAGTTACAAGATTTTGTCAATCCAGTTCGTACCCCAGCTGAATAAGCACAAACCATGCACGCCGCCAGGCTGTTTAACCTCTTCTTGAGGCTGTCAACAGATGAAGCAGTAGCAATCTTGGCAGGCAATGCGTTGCACTGGACGCAATCTCGCAGAGAGGCGAGGCATGAAAGCACAGAGGTTTTCACCATTCGGCGTATGATTCGCCTTCGGCTACCAAGGGGATTGTCACAGTGGCTGCTCGGTAGGATTCCGCTATTCAGATGACTCGGGTTACTCGGTATTTTTTAAGCTGTTGTCAAACTGCCAAGTAGTCCACGGTAGCTAAGCGAGTACAGCCCTAGGTTTCTCAGCCTGCCTTCATCGGGTTTATGCCTCATCCCCACGACACGCTTTTTTACTCGCCTTTGAAAGTCCACATCTCTCCTCAGGCATGGTGGTGCAGTGACGTTGAGGACATCTAAGTGAGGTCGAATGTTGGTCTTGCGCAGCCCCAGGAAGAGTTTTGGCGAGAAAGCGCCTGGTTTAGTAGTGTGTAGCCTCTGGAGGTATCTTCTGGATAATTGGAGCTAGTACCTAGCTTGTCGGTTAGCACTGGTAATGTGAGACCATAGCTCTGAGTAAAATACTGTTATTTGCCTGAACATTTTTAACTTGGCATTCCCACAATATTTTTGCGGTATGACTAGTGGTTTATTTTCTGCCCCCATTGTAATGCAACTCGCTGATTGGTTAATCGTTACCTCCACCATGCCGATGTCTCAAATTGCGGACAAGGTCATATTCATATGTGTACATGTTCGCATGTTTTGGGATTGATTTATTATTATATCCTCGGAGGAGTAAACCCTCCGGTCACCCAGTTTCGGTCTTATCCCTATTCGCCCCAGGTCGCGGTCGGTGGCTTTTGCGCACTGAGTTAACTGTCAGTTAAGCGTGCGTGTTATATTCGTTCGGAATGCATAACCGTTGGTGACGAAGATATGTCGGTGGCGACATGAATGTGATAAAAAGTGGACTGAGATCATTTTGCAGCACACTCGGTTCTACTTCGGACGCTACAACTCCCCATAACTTAACGTCGTCAGAGTGAAGTAGAAACAGGGGACTGAGACTCACTAGGAGGCCATTCACAAAAAGAGGGATAAATAGAGGAACCGGAATCATCCATCTTTATGCATGCAATGATTATGTGCTTGAGGTCGAGGAAACCCTGCCGACTTTCGGTCAGAATTCTCGGCCGTCCTAATAGCCCTACAGCCCATGGAGGACTTGATCGTCGATGCCCGACCTCGATAATTCGCGAATGAGAATTGTACGCGGTGCTGTGTTTAGGGCTTTGACAAAATCCGGGTGAATCACATGAAGAGGGACTTGGGAGCCTAAGCATTTCATCCGGATATTACAGGATGCAAGAGGTTTTGGTGAGTGGGACCCGCCCTTTTGGAACCCCTGCTGAGCATCACTTTGTGCTCCCGCTTTGTCCAAGTTCTGTCTGATGTGGTTGTCTACCGGGCTGTCCGTTTCTTTTGAGAGCACTGGCCAAGGTCCTATCGATCGGTAGCATTTCGGGTTCCACGTGTCTCTCCTTTTGGAAATGGGAGACTGGATAGCACGTTTCTACCCTTGAGGAAGCATGTGTTTGTCTTAGGAGTGTTCAAACAGATAAGGGAGCGGACTGCATCAGGCACACGCGCACTGTTTCAACAGAGATGACCCGATATCGCCGCACACCCTGCCCAGAGTTCTGACAGCCCTTCAAAGGCCATTGAAGGGGTTTCTTTTATTCCACGCAGCTCTACTGCACTCGGTAGAGCTGAAGGTTGCTGGAACAGTTGGCAATTTCAAATAGACGACGGCCTTTTTATTTGTGTGCTGAAGATGGCGATAAAGGCTTCGGCGATCCCCAGTCCAGACAGGTTCTGTCCGTTCAGGCCTTCCATGACGGAAGCTCCATGGCTGGTTGATTTTCCCTCTGTCATGAATCCGTACAGGTCTTTGGGATTTGTCTCAAGCTTCTATGCAAGGTTTGTCTTGACAGACCTCTTATCCCCCCATTTTAACGTTGCATCGATGCCTTAGATCCATTTATATGTTATGATCTGACGCGTTTTTGAAGATCTTCCAGTCATGCCATGCTTTCCTCTTCGCTTTCTAGGAGCGTTCAGTATCTCGTCTCAATCATGGGACTCTCTTCTTTGGTAATTTTGTAACTACTAGGAAGTTTCCAGAGATGGCCCTCCTAGCGATATTCTTTACTGCTTACGGGTGCTGATAAGTCGACAAGATACTCCACTCCTGGGCCATGGTAATATCGACAGTCATCGATTAATCACGATGTAGTTGTCTTGCTGTAGCGAGGGCGAGATCCCTCCCATGACAGTCGACCACTAACAGCCACGTTGATCACTGCCAAACCGTGATCACTGCTGTGGAGGGGGGCTTGAATCGAACGATTCCTGCTAACAGATGGTTTCTGGTAAAAAGTAGCCTGGTCTAAGGGTCCTTCAACTCAAACCCCAGCGGGTCTCACCACCAAAATTCTCACGCAGTTCAGCCTTTTTTAGCGATGGGTTGGTTTTGGTCGAACCTTCGATTTGGGGTTGCCTTGCAAAATGAAGATCACAGCTAGGGGCATGAAAATGCTCGGCTATAATGACGTAGTCAAACCCCACAGACATCATCCTCGACATTACTCGAAGTATTTACCAGTTATGTTCCACATTTCCAGTAGGAGCTCTGTAAACCTATAGGAAATTAATAGCCATCAACCTGGGCGACGCCATTGTTGTCAGATGTTATGGGCGTGGGAGTCCGCACACCGCAACCGCCACACCACTTGACCCCATCCTTTCTGATAACCACCGCCATTGTTGGGCATCGCGAGCAGACTGCCCTACCAATGTGCCGGCTGTTAGTTTCCATATGCCGTGGACAGGTATGGCTGTTAGTTTGAGTGTAGGGCGCTGCTCCAGATATTTTTACCGTTGACCGTGGCCGGTCTAGCCGGTTTATGACCAATAAATGTCACAGAGAAAAGAATCTTTCGACCTCGTTAACCGACCTTAAGGTCATTGTCATCCGAAGGGTCTATCATTGAAGTGAATATTTGCCTTTGTAGAGCCGGCACAGCTTCGCTTTTAAGCCACTCAGTAGTAGTGTGAAGCACACCGTTTCCCGGCGCTGTCAGTCGAAAGATTCTCCTTCCTCAGGGAAACTGTCATGGCACGGGCGCGTTAAATAAGCGGAAGGAGTTTGATCTATCATCATTCCTGCCAACGTGTGTTGTGGGTGGGTTTTGACTGGGCAGAATGAGCCTTCTTTTTCACTGCAGCTCAGTTTTCCAGATGTACAGTTGGGGTCGTTGTTAGAGCAACTTCAGAGTTTGGAGCTGAAGTTGTTGATCGCATGGCTGATCGTCGTTTGCCCAATTTTGGGCTATTCACCTGTCACTGTCCCAGGAACGATGCTGACGCTCCTTTGTCTCTTGAAATTTCACTTGCGGTAATGGTTTATGTTAATGCCGGTGTCTTAATGGCTACTGAGGTGTGTTTGACTGCTTCCCTGGGCAAACCTATAGGGAGAGGTGGCCTTACATGGCACCTCTAGCAGATATGCCAGAACCGCACAAATAGGCGACGCGACACGAAGGCGTATTATTGATCTGGTACATCCTCACCAGACTGACACTGCACCCACTTGTTGCGAATGTTACACTTAAAAGCTGCGTTTCTTTTGGCCGTGGTGAGACCATGCTTGAGGGAACTATCAGCCCTTTTTTCTGTGTGATCTCCTTTGTGATAGCCTTCACAAGCAGCTCACGTTACGGGGTAGGTGTGCCAGAAGGACATATTGTCAGCTGAAAGAGATCAGGTGGGCTCTGAGGGACAGGAACGCTACTTCTTGGGAATTGGTACTCGCAACTGTTTTCCCAAGGTCATGCCGTGATCCTCTGCGCTGGTTTTAAACCTCTTGTCTGTGGTCCAACTTACTGGCAAGAAAGAGGATGTTAATTGAGATGAGGCTTTACTTGAGATGCCCCTGGGACCAGATTTAGCTAAAACACTTTTTCTACTCATTTTGATAGGTCGTTAAGGGAAAAGGGCAAGATAAAAGTCC